CACACACACACACACACACACACATACATACATACAATACACAAAATTGATATTTTCTTTCAAAATGGTGTGCTAATATAATTTTAAAAAATGAAATCAGATGTAATATTTGCATTTACGAACGTTCAAAGGGGAAGTGTTGTTATAAAAACTAAAGTTGTGTGAAATGTTATGCCTTATATCTCAAGAATCCGTGAGATGTATTTTAACATTCTCATTTTTTATTTATTTTGCCCAGTGCTGTATACTTAAATTGATGTGTACTGCTTTTAATTTACTAAAGTATTATGACAGCGAATTCCTCCCTTTGAATTTTTTCACAACATCAATCAACCTTGCTATGCAAAACAGAGCAACATGTCTTACTGCTGATTGGCTGTGTGTCTCCCAGAGCGCGATGTGATTGGACGGTGCACCTGTCGCGTAACGACTCCCACCATAAGGTTTCGTGGCGCAGAGGATTGAAGCTCATTCTCTCACACTCACTCACAGCAGCGCGAGCTCGGAGGATGGAGGCGACTGAAGCGGTAGGTGAAACGCGTCTCTCTTACTTCTCGCTGAAGAGCGGTTAGCTGCTCAGACCTGCCTGTTGGAGGAACTGTGAGCTGTGACGGGTTCTGTGGTTTGGTCGTGGGTCCTGGAGTTTGTCCAGTGCGGTTTAGTGCGCTGAAGTGTTTGCCGGGTCAAGCCGCGAGCATTAGTGATGGATGGACTGACGCTGTCCGAGGTGCTGAAAGTGAGTAAAGCTTCCACTGTAAAACATAGTAGGACTTTCAACAGGAGAACAATGTTTTCCATGTCTATTTTTAATTAGTATGTAGATAGGCTATTGAATAGGCTATTCTGCATTTTAAAAATCGTATTATATATAGCTTTTTAAATTGCCTTACAATTTACAGAGGCAATTTATATTATATTTAATAAGGCATTGAGTATACTTTTGTTGTAAAATATTCTTTTGTGGTGTTTTTTTTATGAGTAAAAAGTAAGAATGACCTTATACTTTAAGGAAAGAAGCATTTCTTGAAATGTCTATGCGAACTAGCACGTTTGTTTAGATTTTTCTGTTGTTTATGATTATTGGGATGCATGTTGGGTTGTTTATTTGCTGTTTGTAGCGTTATTATAGTATCGTGTGTTATCCTGATTGTGTTTGGTGGTTGGGTAACACTTTACTTGAAGGGGTGTGCATAAGACTGACATGACACCTTCATAATCATATGGAGGTTTTATGCATGTTTATGACAACTGTCATTAAGTGTCATTCGCTCCGTTATGTCATTTTTAATGCAAATATGACATTATTTGACCTAACCCTACCCCTACCCTTACCCCTAACCATAGCCCATAACAAAGACATCTCAAACAATGTCATCTTTGCATTAAAAATTACATAACTGAGCGAATGGCACTTAATGACAGTTGTCATAAACATGCATAAAAAACATTCATATTCATGACATGTGTCATGTCATGATTATGAAGGTGTCATGTCAGTCTTATGCACACCCCTTCAAGTAAAGTGTAACCGGTGGTTGAACTATAAGTAATTAATGTGGCCTTTTTATAATGCAACTTGTATCGATGGCAGTAGATTTTACAGTAACAGCTAGGCTGGTAGCTATATAAGCATTTTTATGGATCAGATCAAGTACAAACACATCATTATGATGAAAATGGTTTACCATGTTACCATTTTTGAAAGTTTGCTAGAAGGATTTTTTTCATGAAAATGCTGATTGTATCTAATTGCTCTTCTAATTACTCATAAGTATTTTGCATTGTATTTTCACACTGGCTGGAAATAAATCATCATTAGCTTGTGAAAACATTGTTGATTACTGCTATGTTAACTTTGAAATATAAATATGGAGTTTCTGAAAAAATCTTACTGACGTTTGAGATTTTTTTGTCTTATTTTTATTTTATTTTTTCTCCCAAGTTGATGTTTTTTTTTTCTCAGTTACTTCCCTGGTTCTCAAAGTTCTTTGATATTTGAGTCATCTGGCTGTGTTTTGTTTGCTGTTGAAGACGTAAAAAGACCATTTTCTTTGTGCATGTATAATTTTTACATGTCTTTTGAACAATATGTTGCATCTGTGCATGCAAAATTGACCAGATCTTTCATTTTCAACAGTGTTTTGACTGATGCAAGTCATTTGAGAAATGACTCGCATCATTTGAACTTAGAAAACATGAATTTTTCTTTAACGGAAATACTCCTTGATAGTGAAATTGTAATATAAATAAGCAGTTTAAGGTGAAATAAGCTCTCTGTGCCTAAACATCTGGCGGAACATAAAATGGGTCATTAGTACGAAATGGGTGCCTTTCCAACTAGATTAGAAGTCAGCATGAAATGGAAATTGCAGTCTCTTTTTCTTCTCTATTGTGATATATGTGAGTGAAACGGCTTCTTGAACAAGAGGAAATGTAGGCCGGGACTTGATTTTGTCCATTGGGATTTGGTTGGATTGATGTTGTTTTTTAATTGCTGTGATCTCATGTGAGTGACAGGTTGCTGGAGGGAAGTGATTTTTGCCCAGTACTTCATTGCACACGTCATCAGAGGAGAGATGTTGTTGCGAAGGAGAGAGAAAGTTAATGTTTTTGATGAAAGATTAAGAGTTAATTCATACAAAAATAATTATGTGCACAGATAAATGATTTATAATAAACACCGCAATATTCAATTGAAAAGAATATAAGAGTATAATCTAACAGATAATACGATTTTAAACCTTTTATCAGGTATATAATGTGTTAATATACTGCATTGTGCCATCTCTAGCTAAATACATTTTTAATATGTGCTGGGACATAATTTTGCCTTTTGAATAGTTAATTTATTACATTACAGTTCAGTAGTTCGTTTATTTATTACATTACTTTAGAGTTTATTTCAACGTAAAAATCCTTTTGTTCAATGTCATGAAACCGGTGCTTCTTAAGAAGAGAATTTAATGCTGAAATTTTTATAAATAATTTTTTTCAAATATCAGTTGTTTACAATAAATAAACATAGTAACAGGGTCGATGATGTAAGATTGTTCTGAACTGACAAAATTGAAGCATAAAATGACATAAAAGACTTTAACTTGTCCTTGAAGAGTTCATTTATTGAAAGAATGATAGGGTTAATGGAAAAGGTCAATGGTCTACAAATGGAACAATATAACATGTTTGATGCATAACCTGTGGAAATAAATTGAATGTAATAAGAGCACATAATTATAAAAATAATAATGATGTCCGCAGAAAAATTGCAGTATTCAGTAAAAAATAAGATTTTTTTTTTTTTGTCATTTTTGATTTCATTGTGACTTTAAAATACTTTTTGTTTTACAATTATAAACATTTTAGCAGCTATATAATGTGTTACAGAATTGCATTGCACCATCTCCCGCTAATTTAATGCTTTTTAATATATGTTGGGACATAATTTTGCCTTCAGAATAGTTAGTTGATTAAATTTTACAGTTTAGTTGGACATTGCAAACCTCAAGGTCATAAAACTGGTGCTTCTTCAGAAGAGATTGTATCCTGGTAACACTTTACAATAAGGTTTCATTTGTTAGCATTAGTTAATTACATTAGTTAACATGAACAATGAATGAAAAATACTTCTACAGCATTTAGTAAACTTAATGTTAAATTCTATGTTTGATAATGCATTTTTAAAGTCAAAAATTGTATTTGTTAATGCACTGAGCTCAGCTTACATGAAATAGGCCTACTATGGAAAAAAAATGTTTTTAAATTTTTTTTTATTAGCTAACGACATTAACAAAAGTTCATTAGTACTGTAAAAATATATGTTACCAATAATCTTTTTAAACATCAGTGGTTTACTATAAATAACCCTTTCAACAGGGTTGATGTAAGATTGTCCCGTACTAGAGCAACCATTTAAAAAAAGAGACTTTACCTTGTCCTTGAAGAGTTCATGTCATTGAAAGGATGATAATGTCATGGCATTTATGGAAAAAGTCTACAAATGGAATGTAACACAAACACAGATGATGCATGGAGAAATAAATGGAAAAATACAAAATATATAAAATATATAAAGAGGAAAAATGCGAACTTTAATGTAAATATTTGCTGCAAGGAGTTTGAAGTTGGCAGGATGCAAAAAATGCAATGTCATGATGAAAGAAAATAAAATGTCTGTATTAGCACATTGTTCATGTTTCAGTATTTTTGTATGCACTTGTGTGCGACGGGCTCATGGCACCTGTTTTGAAGAATGGCCCATATGCCATGGTGCATTATGCAGCCACATGTTGGTTTCAGTAGCATCATCTGTTTCGGCGGGCATTTGGCGTGCCGCTACGCTCACATAGAGTCTGACAGTAATGGCTGTACCGTCTCCTTCATTTGCTTTTGTTCTCTTTACTGTGGCTCTCAAGTCGCAGTTGGGAAAGCAAAATAGGTGTTTGATGAGGATCGTTCCTTCCCGGCGTTTTTCTTCCGGGCAAATCAAAGGCAGTAAGTCACTTGTCTTGTTGTGAGGAATGGGCGCCAGCTCGCGCGTTCTCTCGGGTTTATTTGAAATCCAATATGAATTGTGCTGACGCTTTGAATTCGCTTTTGTGACCTTGGCAGTATTTTCTTGGCAAAGACAGTGTCGTGTTGTTTAAAATGTGTGGAGGGGAAGTCTGCATATCAGAGGTTTGTCTTTATGTCCCAGGTGTCTTTTAGTACTTTATGCTTCTGTCGTGGATGTTGAAATAGTCTCTGTGGTCTCCTGTATTCCCTACAGGGCTGATTTTTCTTTGAAGGAAATAAATGCAGTTTTATGCTTGACTTGTGGCCTCGATGCACTCGTTTGTGTCATTGCTAAGTGAATTCTGTTGGAAAATGTAATCTCTTTATGATTAGACGAGCTCTGGTTCCCATATGGAAGCCTGACACGCACCTAAACATAGCGTACAGTCACTCGAAGCATATTTATATCTGCTTTGCTCATGTTTTAATTGCTGTTTGGAGTCTGGTGGCTTGACATTGACGTATTGATCAGGTCTTAGAAAAGCCTCAATAACAGGCAGATCTAATTGATTACTCCGCATTGACATGCAGGGGCATTATGCCTCACCACGAGCGCAGACTGGGAATATTGATGTGTGAAATTAATTCCAAGCATGAGCGACTTTCACTTTTGTTACTGTTCTAATGAAATAGCTCGAGCAATTTTCCGTTGTTTTTTTTGTACATTCCAGCACAGACGTGTTTGGGAATACCGCGTTTGAGGAAATTAGACTCCCCAGCCAAAACAGACTGGCAGCTTTTGCACTTGTTATCGGGCTATTGGTTTTGAACCTTCTCCTGTGTGTTAAATCAGCTCATTATGCTGCTGCTGTATTTCCAGTCTTCTTTAATTTGTTCTGTTAGACATGCCGTCTCCATTTAAAGGTGTTCTCCGGGGAAAACTTCAGCAGCAGACAGAGAGGGTGTTAAGCGGAGGGCAGCTGATAATGTTCATCTCTCTTGACTACTGAAAGTTGCTACTAATGATCTGCAAAAA